CCAATACTATTTTGGGGGTTTAGGGTTTAGGGAATAGTTACCAATACTCTTTTGGGCGTTCCTTATAATAATTATAGTATAATGAGCCCCGAAACCCATTCATTACTCGACATGGGCCTGCATAACTAGAACGTGGTTCCTTTACGGGTTGCTCTAAGGGTCACTGTTACAACGGCTTGAGTTTAGAGGTCTGAATCATTAGAATGGGGTTCTTTAAGGGTGGCTGAACGGGCTCAGTATCGGGGCCTGCATCTTAGAATACGGGGTTTGGTAATAAGTAATGACAATAAGGGTTTCAGGCACGGCTTGGGTTGAGGGCGTTCCGGCTGTGGATTAGGCTGCTGGGCTGAAAGCTTTCGGTGTTCAGGATTGTTGGTTTTCTGTGCAGGATCGACCGTTTACGCACTGGGGCGCTCTCCGAAGGGACACCCCATAACCATAAACCCCTAAACCCTAAACCCTAAACCCTCAACCCTAAACCCTAAACCCTCAACCCTCAACCCTAAACCCTCAACCCTCAACCCTAAAACCCTAAACCCCTCTACAGAAAGCCTTGGAAGCCCAGCTTCGGCCCCACCGAACTTCTTTCAGAGACCCTTCTTGTTTCAAGACTTTCCAGAGACTCCAAGATCCCTTAATTAAGGTTTTAGGGTTTAGGGTTTAGGGTTCCAAGATCCCTTAAGTAAGGCTTAAGTAAGGAATAGAACTTTTCGGGTTTAGGGTTTTTGTTTAGGGTTTAGATTATAGCAGGATCCCCAATATGATTTAATTAAGGTATACTCCTTCATTAAGGGTTTAGGGTTTAGGGTTGGGATATTGAGTCTCTAAGACTTTCCCGAAGGCAGAGGGTGTCTGCGCAGCTCCAAACAGCCCCGGCCGCCTTGGATCCAGGTGCATCCGGTGCTCTCACCGCCAAGCAAGACCTCATCACAGGCTCTACCCACGAACCCAACAGGGTTTAGGGTTTAGGGTTTAGGGTTTAGGGACCCCTTCAATAAGGAATAGACCTTAAATTATAGGGGCCCTAGTATTTTGATGTAAGGTATCTACTCCTTAATATCAGGGGTCCCTTAAGGGCTCTCTAGGTACACAAATCTTCAGCCTCGTTGCTCGACGTCGTACACGTCAGCCAAAACCCAAAACCCAAAACCCTAAACCCCTAAACCCTAAACCCTAAACCCTAAACCCCAACACCCTGAACAACCCGCGCACAAAACCCCAAGGCTCCCTGGACCTTCTGTGGGCTTCTCTGCCTCTTAGGTCGCGCCTCTTAAAAAAGGTGGATTGATTAGGGTTTAGGGTTTGGGGTTTAGGGTTTAGGGTCTAGGGTTTAGGGTTTAGGGGCCCGAGCTCAGGGGCCCGACATGCATTGCATCTCTACCGCTTGAGGCTGCGGAGGCCTTCTAACACCGTCGTCCCCGAGTTTGTCTTCGCTGTTTCTGTGGTTTGCGCACCTTCCAGGGACCTTCAGGCGCAGGCCAACCCCGACAGCAATCCGAAAAGTCCTTCCCTCAAGCCGGACGGCTTGACACACCGAACCTCCAAACCCAGCAAAAGGGGCCGAAATCATTACCAATACTATTTTGGGGGGCTCCTTACTATACTTATAGTAGAATGGACCCCGAAACCCAATTCTAATTATTAAGGCCCCTATATCCTAATAGTAGCCCTTATAGAACCCTTTAAGGAACCCTTTAAAGGAACTCCCAAAACCTCTATTCTAATTATCTCCCAGGCCCGAGAAACCCATTTTCAGCCCTCCTCCCCTCCTCAGCCTCTCCCGCATAATCTACCGTTCAAAAAGCCCCCCCTTTGTTTGGACCCAAACCCTAAACCCTAAACCCTCAACCCTCAACCCTAAACCCTCAACCCTCAACCCTCAACCCTCAACCCTAAACCCTAAACCCTAAACCCTACACCCTACACCCTAAGCCCCTAAACCCTAAACCCCAAACCCTAGACCCTAAGCCCCAAGGCCTGGTCCGTGTGGTCCCACTCCGACCGCTTCCAAAGCTTCGAGACGGGACGGCCGAAGGTGAAACCTTGCGGGGGCTCCGCGGTTCTTTCAGGGGTTTAGGGGTTTAGGGGCTTAGGGGCTTCGGGGCTTAGGGGCTTAGGGTT